GCTTAGCTGGACAGTTTTCTTCCATTCTTCTTGTTGTTCCCGCTCTGTCATGTTGGGCTTTGACTAGGCCACCCCAGAACATCCACCTTGTGTTCTTCAATCCAGTGCAGCTCTATCTGTTTGGCACACAAAGCATCCAGTGTTGTCTTGCCGGAAAGCAAATCCATGATTTAGAATGGCCTAGTAAAAGTCCAGACTGAATCCAACTGAGAACCTTTGGAAAGACATGATTGAATCTCACTGAGTTTAACCTATTTGGAAACAAAAATGGGCAAAAAGTTCAGTCTCTAGATGTGGAAACTAAAAGAATAGAAAAAAATAACTGGCTGTCTTATGAGAAAGCTGATTAAAATTCAGTCCAATTAAAAAAATACAGATCCAAAAAGGAAATGAAATGTAACTCGTATTAATTCAAATTCTTCCAAGAGTTATTGTAGATAGTGATGGCTGTTGGCAGAGCTCTNGTAGCTGTCTGTNTTACAGTGACTTTGAAGAAGCCTCTGACTGAAGACACACCGTCAGCTGTCCAAGACAAGGACACCTGTTTTAGGTTGTCCAATAAAACAATATTCCTCTGGAAAGGCAGGAATTCAAATTTGAAAAAGAAAGTACAGTCACTCCAACATGCAGCGCAATTCTAGAATGGATGCTTACATGAAATAAACTAAACATCTGTCATTAGGTCAAATAAATACATCTGTACCTGGGTTCCGGTTTATTACCAACATAAACAAGATTCCTGGAAAGGACGAAATGATTTATCGACCTGCTTTCAGGAGGTATTTGTCCTTGATCCTCACCTTCTGCTTACAAATTAACCAGCTTATGGCTGCCGTAACACCACTAAACAAACATACAAAACACTGATTTCTATTTAGAGTTTAACAGTTTATTGACCGAGAGGAAAGGAAAGTGAGTAATTGAGCCTAATCACTGCAGAGCTGCAGCCAGCATGCCGTCCGGCCTTGTGACAGTTTCATTATCAGGGCTGATATGCAACACAAGAGTCGTTTCCCCTAATGATGGCCCTGCCTTCCACACCTCAGGACAAGTGAGTGTGGCTGACATGACTGTGGCGAGGCAGCGACAGAGAGGACAGATCATTTGGCCACAGTGGTTGGGTGTGGCAGCCAATCATGGCGAAGCGCTCAACTCCTGCCCCGGCGGCTGAAACCCGACAGAAAATTTACTTTATAACGGCCTTTTTTTGTTTGATTTACTGTTGGGTTGCAGTTTTATTCAACCTTCAAGCTTCTTCTTCCCAGTGGGAGAAAACCCAGAGGAACCAAACTTGCTGGAGGGAATGTTTGTCCTGTTCTGGTTTGGGTGCAGCTTTGCAGTGGGGCAGTCATGAAAGCTGTTGTTTTCATGGAGCTTTGTGCATGAAGGGTGATGGAAAGGTTCTCTCTGGGTACTCCAGGTTCCTCCCAAAGTCCAAAAGAATACAAGCCGATGTGACTGGCAGACATTTTGGGAGTCGGGGCCTCAAGCGGAAAAAAATGGGGAACCTTTGTAGCCAGCAGACTGTTGATTGCACCTCCTGCACAATTTGCATTCACTCACAGGAAAATAAATACCCGTCTCTGGTTCTATGTTTGAAATACACAAACCTTTATGTGTCAGTGATACCTACGAAGCAGCTGGGCCTGGTGGGTCCAGGAACATCAACTCCAAACAAAAATGCATGTTTAAGTGCTGTAAAGAAAACAGGATGACATCCAGACTTATGATGGCGTTTGTGGCCCATGTGGTGTTTATAGGCACCAACTACAAACCACTATTTGAACCATCGTGAATAAAAAAAAGAAATCAGTTCAACAGTACTGAGACCACATGCTGCTCATTTCAGCCAAGCAGATTTCTGTAATGAGGAACCCATGTTCCAATTATGGACTTTAGCTGAGGGGAAAAGGTGTGTGTGTGTGTGTGTGTGTGTGTGTGTGTGTGTGTGTGTGTGTGTGTAACAGAGGGGGAACTGCAGATGATTTACCTGAGTAATAGTTATGAGGTTTAAATGTCGGTTTATCAAACTAAAAACGTCAGATGGGGGCGTCTGGTATTTTGTTGGTTCTGGTTGGCGTCTGGTATGGAGTTGGAGGTCAGGTGGTATTTTGGTTCTCTGGGGGTCGTCAGGATGTTTGGTTCCTGGTTTCGCCGCCTGGTCTGTCTGGCTAGTGGAGCCTCTGGGTTCTGGCTGGGAGCGGTCCGCAGTGTGACTGTGGGCTCACTGACATTTGGGCTGGTTGGGCAGTGACAGTGGACCTGGGCTTGGTGTTGGTTCTCCCTGAGCTGACTTTGCAGTGAAGGTGATGCAGCCTAAACCTTACTGACATATCCTGGTTAGATAACACACCAAGGCTGTTTACATTATTACCGGAAGCCAACTGACTGAGAATGGACCTCTGTGGTACTCCACAAGTAACGCCAGAGCAGGAAGAAGACCATCTCTACCAACAGCTACCTCATGTTTCACTGCACTCTTTGTATTTTTCATTGCCAGGAAGGTGTACCACTGTTCCATGCTTTCTTTGTGGATATTGTCTCCTTCTGTGGTTCAGTGGAATCCCAAAGCCTGAGAAATGTCAGGAATGGGGAGGAAATGGAGGAAGATCTTCTGTAGTAATCCCTAAAAGGAGCAGCTGAAAGGAAGAATCTAGCTTACTGTAATAGGTCACTGACCTGACGCTGACTCATTGCGACACATTGCTGCTCTATGGTAATGTGTCACATATTCACTCCGGTGACAAAGATGCACTTGGCAACGATCCAATCATGACTATGAAACATTGCTGGACAGTTTCAGATTAGAGTCCAGGGACTGTACTCTATGAGGTTGGAATAATACAAACAGGAAACAAGGAAACAATGAGCCGATTCATCCCAGCACTTCCTCCTTTCAGCAGATTATCTCCTCAAAATGTGGAAAGCAGGACAGGCAGCTCTGAGGCGTCTCATGAAACTCAGTACGTTTTGTACATCTAAGTGTTTATCAGTGTTTCTGTGCCATAGCCATCCATCAAGAAACAATTCAACATGTAACTGCACTTGGGATCATGCCGTAATTGTTTTCATTCTTGTTGGGTGAAAACTGCAGGCCAAACTGAAATGTCACATTTTGACCTTGCTTTTAAAACAGACGAATGTTTCTCCATGAAACCCAGCTGAACAAGACAATCAGCAATATTCTTACAAATTTAAAATTTGGAACAATTTCGTCTATATTCTACTCAAATCTTAGGTTATCCCTTAAGTTTTCTGGATGTCTGGAGAATGTCATAAAGGCACAATTCATAATTCTTAAGCTGAATGCATGAAGAATCATAAGCTTTGACAGAAATGTACCAGCATTTTCCCCAAAGATCCATCAGTGTAGCTTGTTCTAAACAGAAATGAAGTGAAAGGTTTTTCATATCTGTAGATTTTAAAGGCCTCCAGAAAAGCCAGTGTACCACTGATCTGGTCCACTTTAAGCTGAAGTGGACCAGATCAGTCTGGTCAAAAATGATCAGTTTACCTTTTGACTGGCAGGTTCAGGCCTCCAGAAGACGTCTGGTGCCTAAAGATCTGGCTAAGGTTTCTATGTTGTAACTTCTTTCTTTGTTGGCTGGAAAGACGTGTTTGTAAATTTTTCATGAGCCTCCACTGTCGCACAGTTTACTCATTTCCGCGTCTAGGTAATGATTGGCAAACATTTTCCAAAAATAGAATGAGTCTAAGTTTAGAAAGAGAAGATTAGAGGACAGTCTGGTGCCATGCTGGAGCAACAGGCAGGTTATCTTCACCTTTATCTTGAAGGCGAAGATAAAGTGAAACATGAGTCTGAGCTGTAATCTTTATCTCTCAACTCTGAATTCAATGGATGAAGCCTGAAATCTCAGACTGTGCAAATAACTGTGCATGTACATTTGCACATGTAGAGGTCATGTGTGAAGAGAGAACAATGGAAATCTCACAATATGACAGTAAATTTACTAAGCTGCATTAATGCAATGAAGAACAAATACAGCAGTGTACTTGGATGCCTAAAAAACTAAAGACAACAAAAAGCAGAAAAACAATTTAACCATTTAATATTTATATGACGGATGATTTATTTATATATCTTTCAAAGCATTTCAGAAAACTTGCAAAAGGTTGTCAAGATTGGAGTCGAAACCTTGCAGCACCAATGCCATGTAAGTTCCCTATTGACCAGCGCCAGTGGTCACTGGACCAACCTGCTGGAAAGAGACTCCAGGAGATTCCAGGAACAACCTCAGAGATCTTTGTTCTGGAAAACACAGTCCTAGGAAAAGCTGATTATTTCACACACACACACAGTTTTATTTTTAGATTGTGGCCCTGATGCCAACTAATCTCTTGACCATTGGTCCCATATTGCCCATGGACGCCTCGCGCCGTGACATCACGAGAGCAAGATCCCGCCCATCACCCTGCTGGAGGGAAAACAGCTGCTCACCGACGATGACTAGCATTAGCTTTAGCTTTGATGTTATCAGCATAACACGCCAAATCTTAAATGTACACCTTGATGTATAAAAGAAAAAGGGACGCAGTGCTTTGCTACCATTTGTCAAAACTAGAACAACTAGATAACAAGGTCAGGAAAAAGTTTTAATTTAGAAAAAATGACAAGCAAGAGGGAACTAGGTCAGTTATGCTAGCTTGACTTTGACAACCACAACATTTAGATGTGCTGCAGAATTTAGTGTTTCGGTTCAATTAAAAAATAATTAAAAAAGACGACCTAAACACCAACTGTGACAGATCAGCAGAGCAGGTGTTTAAATTAACCAACCACTGCAGAGATCACTTCTTAATCTTAAACTGTTTACTGTGGAACAGCGATGCATTCTGGGTACAGTATAAACATCGTTGGCTGCAGGGGATCACTGGAGGAAAAAGAGAGGGGAAATGGAAGTGCTTTGTAAACAGTCTTCAAAATAAGAGCATGAATACAAAGATATCAAACATTTTTCAACTGAAATTTAACAAAACAGCCACTTAAATGAGAGCTTTATGATTTATCTGAAAAAATTAATTTGGAGGAAGCTAAGTGAGCTAAATGTTTTCAAAGTTAGCTGAAGCGCTGGATGAAAAATTAGCTGATTAGCATAAGTGTGCCCTCCACTTTATTGTGTTGTTTACTTAAGTTTAGTTCTTTCTTGAAGTTTGCCCACCTTCTATATAATTAGACAACATATTCTGATAATGATGTTGCATTACAAGGAAAGAAAAAAGTTAAAAATGTCCATTTTAATTATAAAATTTTGTGACTATTTATGCAACCCATGTTTAGCTGTTTATTTGTAATAAAAATGTGAGCCAGCTGGTATAGCTGCATGCATTATGTGGAAATTAATCTCTGAACAGTTGAACACAAACAGGAGGTACTCCACTAAAAATATAACAAACAAACCCTCCATAGTTTGAACCCTCCTCAGAGGAACGTTTTATCAGATAAAGTTTAGATTTAACCGAAACAGCAGAAAGAGGCGCAGACAAACTAATAACATGTGACAGTGGGATCTTCATCTCTAGAGTCCAGTTTAAGTTCAGCAGCTAATGTGAAGCTGTGACCCTCACAGAGTTGAGAGCCAGAGTCTTCAGTCACGTTGTGGCAGCTTCAGAGAGACCGAACACCTCCGAGAGTCAGGTTAGGCTCCACTCCAGCAGGCAGCACCATTAGTCACACCTCATTAATTTTCCTCCGGATCGCATGGTGACGAAATCAGGTCGGTATAAAGGCGGCACCTGCAGCGCCGGAGACCCAGAGGAGAGCGGCAGCAGCAACGAGAGTCATCACAGAGAGGAACGACTGGAAACCGCCACAGAAAGAAGAAAATGCTGCCAAATTTCTCCGTTTGCTGTTTTTCTCTGCTGTTCATTAATTTCATAGGAGCTAAACCCATTTCTGACATACAGGTAGGTTCACCTGGAGTGGATATCATTCCACCGACGTGTCCAACAAATTAAATCAGTGCTGCTGACGTGTTTGCATGCAGAAACCAGTCATTTTAAGGCTGTTTCCTTTTTCCCAGAGTTTGCAGCAGCTTTTGGAGACTGAAATCAGCAACTTTCCCTTCTCCTCTGAGGAGGCGCAGGTGGAGGAGAGCGACTTCGGCTCAGACAGGTCTGTGCTTGGCGCTGCGGGGCGGCGGGAGCCCTGGAGCGCCGCCGACAGCCGCAGCTCCGCGCCGCTGGTCAAAGATAACGCGCTGGCGCATTTCCTCAAAGACATCATGACCACCTCCAAGCGTTCGTGGAGCCGATACAAGAAAGGCGGCCTGAGGAGCTGCTTCGGGGTCCGGCTGGAGCGGATCGGCTCCTTCAGCGGACTGGGCTGCTGAGGTACCAAACTGGCATGAAATTTCTTTCATCTTTTTAAAAAATATCACATCATATATCCTGCAGTTTCAGTTTCAAAATGCATCATAATTATATTACAATATAGTAGGTCTGTCACTATAACGACATTCTGCTGAAAGATAAATTGTCCGAGAAGTTATTCTGATAAACGACAATATTGTTGTTTTCAGACCATTTAATGCTGCCATAATAACACAAGAGCAGAAGGTCAAAGGTCAATAAACTTTAAATTCTAGTGAACATTTAACACTGGAAGACATTTTACATATACAAAATAAATAAAACAACAAATAAAATGAATTATGAAGTTTCTGCAAACTAAACTGTCCTTCAAAAACAGCTGGATGAGACTAAAACACCAGACTGAAGACTTTAATTAAACAGCCTTTGGTAGAAAGAGAGAAAAACTATAAATTATGCAAATGGAAATTATTGAATTTGTTTTAATTGATCAAGCAATTAACTGATTTATAACATAATATATTACAGTTTGTTTTTAACGTTCTCCATTCAGCATATATTTATAGTTTTATTCAATCCTGCAAAGAACAAGGATTCAAGCATGGCTGTTTTTTTATTTCAGCGTCTTTTGTGTTTGGAAAAGAGAAATTTGAAGGTTTGTTTGCGTCCTGGTATAAAAACGTTCTGTTTTTGTGTCGGCAGGTCCGTTCTCCCAGATGTTCCTGAGACGAGCGCCGCAGCAGTTACTGCTCTCACCCACAACACAGATTTACTCCCTTTCATTGTGTTTTAAAATGAAGGCTGCTGAATTCTAATTTATTGTTTGTGTATTTATTATTTATCTTTCTATTGGATTAAGTCAAGTTGCCTTGTGATATTCTGTATTGCAGTAAAATAATTATTTTGCATATAAAGTTGATTGATTGGTTTATTTGTGGGGACGGCTATATGCAGGACTCAGCACAAATAAAAAGTTTTAATTAGATTTATTTTAATAATCATCAGATCTTATTAACTCATCTGGAGCTGAGGGGACTCTGACCACACTGACAACATAAACTAGACCTGATCACTGTTTATTTTCCTTCAGTTACTAACGTGACAAACTGAAATATAACAACAATAAACACTCTGTTTAGTTGGTACAGGTGTTGATAACTTCTCTCATAGTTTCTATTTTTGATCAGATTCATTAAAAAAGAACAAATAACTGTAAAAATTAAAATCAACACCCAGTCTGATCTGACAAAAACTAAATATTTAAATCCAAAGTATTTAGCTTCTTATTTACGTTTTAGCTAAATATTTAATTACAAACTAAATATGTGGCTTGCAAATGAAATATTTAGTTTGAAACATATTCTTAAAGTATTGAATAGCATAATAAAAACTTGAAAACTAAACAGAGGTTTCACAGGTTTTCATAAATTATTTCACAAGCATCAACTCGTTAATGTTAGAAAAAAAAGCATTAAATATTATATTAGTTGTTTGTTTACTAAAAAACTTCCAGATAGCAGTTCAGGTTTAAACAGTTTGTTGTTTAAAATAATTTTACAACTTGGTTGATGACTGAGCTTTCTGCGGTCTGTGACCCGCAACTGTTAGCCGACTGCAGTGAAGCTCATTTCGACATGCAACAACAAATTTTGAAAATGCAACCAAAAAGAGGGTTAAAGTGTGAACCATTCCACATTAAACCTGAATTTCTCACTCATCATGAAGAAGTAACTGAAGTAGTGGTTGAACATTGATCTGAACAGACGTCACAAAATAAAATGAGCTGCTGCAAATGAATGGTTGGAGTAAATCTGTGCAGCGTTTAGAGGTGGTTGGATGTTTACATACAGACAAAAAATGTATAAATCCAGAGGAATATTTGGAAACAGAAAGTGTATGAACCTTACAGAGAAAACATGTTCGCAAAAGACCTGGGAACATTTCTGTGAGAAATGTGAAAAAATGGTAGATGTGTCCTTTTATTTGGTGCATGTAAATATTTGGTTTACAACGTTTTATAAAGTTTAGACTGGAACATGAAAAAGGATCCAAACAGATGTGCGATTATACAACCGTACATCTTTGAAAAGCAGAAGTGGAATCTCCTGCACAATCAATAAGAATGCAGAAAGTGGTTTCTGGATGGTAAATCAACAATAAAATTCTTGTCTTTTCCAGCAGCCATTGTACAGAACATGCAGCAGGAAAACCAGCTGACCAAACAGGCTAGAGTTCCCCTGGGGTTGCTAGGTAATGAGCTGGACTTTGCTGGGGTTGCTAGGTAACTGGCGATTTCTGCTGATTTGTGACGTTACATTCAGAAGGTTTTTGAAACGACTCATTTCCAGACATCAAAAAACATCTGGGTGGGTTGTTTTAAAATCTTGGCTGTTTTTAGAAGCAGTAGAAACTCAAATGGAAGTACAAAAAAATTGCAAAATTCTCATTTTTAATAATTATACATCCAAATCCGTGAATCCACACTGAAGATAGATGCTAATCTTCCAAGGAGGGAACATCTGAGCAACTTCGCTACAAAGTCAGATCAATGCTGAACAAAGCAAGACTTCTTGAACAAAGTCTCTTGGAAAAATGAGACCAGAATAAAGTTGCTTAATGCCAATGCATGACTCCATTTTAAGAAAAAACTCAACAAAGCACATCAGCACAAACACTTCCTAACAGGTGTGAAGCACGGAAGTGGAGGGTTGATGATATGGTGTGGCTATGCAGCCAAAGAACCTGAGATATTGCAGTCAATGAGTCTGCATACCAAAATACGCTAGCATCAAATGTGAAGCCACCAGTCCAACAGCTGAAGCTTGGCTCCAAACTGGTTCCGAACCAGAACACAACAACAAAACTACAATAGGATCTCAAAAAGAAAACGATGGCCTAGTCAAAGTCCAGACATCAACCAAATTAAAATTTTGTGGTGGGACTTTCAGAGAAGTATGCTTCCACTCTAAACCTCGATGAACTGAAGAAATGTTGGAAAGAAGAATCCAGATTCAGACAGTCAGAAAACAACAACCGCCAACTTTACTGACATTTCTGGGTCGTTTTGCTCTTTGCTCATGGTAAACACCTTAATATTTTACTAGATCCTGATGCATACGACCTAGAAGTAGAAGTGGGGTGTACTTTCTATACACAATGATAGTTTTGTTTTCGGTTATCGTTGTTCGAATCCTTCTGGATTATTATTACAGATAAATCCTCAGAAACAATTTTGTTCTTACTGTGGTCACCAAACATGACAGAGGTCTGTTTTGCTGTGTCATTGCTGGTTAATATGTGCCTGCAGTCATGAGTCCATGTGCGCAGGAAAAGTACCTGTTTGGTGAATCTGTTACCAAAACATAGACGATGACGTGTGGCCAAGGCAAAGGGACAAGCATGGACTAAAACAGGGCTGTGAACCACAACTTTAGCCTCTAACAATGTGTGCTCCTCTTAAAAAAGGTTTTCATTTTTAAGTAGCATTTAAAATAGTCTAATAAACCAAATCTGGATTTTCTTGCTTTTTAGTGTAGTTCTTCAGGACGGTTCACTGATTTACCGTCAGTCAGGTGGCCATGATCAAGACTGACACCGTGCCGTTTCTGACAGACCGAAAAAGAAAACAGCTATGCAATAAACTATTTTAATTAAAAGGGTCAAATTTTGTAAACAATGGTACATCCAAAATGTAAATGGATCTTTTTCTTATTGAAAGATTGAGGAAAAATTGAGAAAAATAAAAAAACAGGAAAACGTCTCTTCTGAGCAATAAAAGCAGGATTTGGTTCACAATTTCTCTGAAAACGCGTGTTACATTCAACCAAGTTGAATAAATTAAAGTAGATTTGGCTTCACCCAAGTTTCACCAAAGTCTGATTTTGCGTAGAAATGGGATTGTTTTATTGTCTCTAGATTTGATTACAATTTTTGTTGCCACAATTCAATACAAAATAGATGTTTGATTCAAAACGATTATTCATTATGATTCCTACTTCAATCGATATGTGTGCAAAGGAATCTCACGATCTACTCCAGTCTGTTTTGCAAGGCAGAATGACAGACATTGAGGTGTCCTTTAATTAATTCAGTTTTAAATATTAATCCATGTTTAGCTTCATCTACTCTCCCAGTCCGGACAGCGCTCTGGACCGGCGGAGTACCTCATTAAAAGCTCCGTTGTAGCTTTGCTCCAAGTATTTGCGGTGTTCCGTTGATGCTCCATCTTGAACCCGGTGAAACTCGGAAAGCTCCGTCTTTCAAGCACTTCCTTAAAAAAAAAAAAAAAAAAAAAGAGTCCAAATGTTTTCCCTGAACGAGGGAATACAGGTTAAATCTCTCGTTCTTCTTCTTGTTTTCTGTAATGGCGGATCGTAAACAACTTCAAGCTGAATACCGCCACCTACCGTTCAGCCTGGGAAGCTACAAAATGGAGGCCGAGACACTGTCTTCGATTAATCCAGATCGACAATGTGCCTTTAATAGCTGCATAATTGTTACGTGTCCCGTTTTATTTGTAGAATATTGTTTATGTTCGTGCTGATGTCAGTTTGTGAATTTTATTTTGTGTTTGTAACCAAAGATAAATAAGCATTTTTTTTTTAATTTGGGGACATTTCAATCGTTTCTGAATCATATCAATGAGAATTGGGATTCTTATTTGAATTTTTTTTGAGACACCCCTAGTTTGAGTAAAATTCACGGGATAAATCTATTTACTATTAAAAAAATAACTGAAATGCAAAAAGTGTATAGTAATTAAAAAACAAATACTTTGTGTTGTATCTTACACTTTCTATTGTAGGAAATTATTAATTTAATTTTCAGTTACTCCTTCAAACTGTGTAATTAAGGACAGAAATGTTATTACATTGTATATTTTTGATATATGAAATTCCTTGTTAAAATATTTATGGAAAAACAACGTAGCAGATGAGTCTATTTTAGGGCTGCTGCGCTAAATAGGAAACTCATGACCACATGGGTTCTGGTCTATATTTAGCTCTTTGATAAAACAGTTCAAGTTCTACAGGTAAAACATGCATACCTATCATACCAAACGTTCCTGTGTTGTTTTCTACTCTGATCTAATAATCAAAACATAGCAAAAACTAATAATAAATAGTGACTTTCACTGCATAAACACCATCATTTGGCTTATTTTGAAGCATTTTTATCGAGTTATCAGCACTGAGAGGAAAAATGTTTTTTTTTGCTTCTGAACACTGAAAAAAATACAAAATCTTACCAAGTAGTTTTGATCTAGTTTTTAGTGAAAATATCTTAGAATAGAAATAAGACAACACTAACACAGAAGTAACTTAACATGTTATAAGTAGCACTTATAACATGGGGAAAATGTCTTATGAAATAATCTGCCAATGGAACAAATACTTTTTTCCAATTGTTTTAAGTAATTTAAGGAATTACTTAAAACAAGTTACAATACCTCACTTAAAAGTTACTTGTAAGTTAGTTTTGTCTCAAGTGTATTAAGCTATTTGCATCAGAAACTAGACCCAAAATACTTGGTGAGGTTTTGTTTTATTGCAGTGAAGGAAATGAGGTCATAGTCTGAACCCCAGAAAAAAATGTGCTTATCTCCATTTGGTGACCAACATGTTGTTTTACCATGTAGACGCCTCGATTTAGCAACTCTGTCATTATTTTACAACTTCCTGTAGCCTAGTGACAACATCTGAGTCCTGAGTGGACGGTGGGTTGGACCTTTTCCTGAAACTAAGTAGGATATGGAAGCAGCAGCTGTCAGATATCACAGATATGCTACTTAATAAGGAGCAGTTTCCGACAGCTTCCGTTATCAGAATTAGGTGTGAAGAATGCATAAAGCCGGAGTTCAAATTCCCAGCATTCCTCGGCGTCAGGCTCAAGTATAAAGGAGCAGCTGGTGGAGCCCAGCATCCGAACAGCAGCCGAGTCAAAGGCCAACGAGTGGAGATATGAACGGCAGCATCTCTCAGAGAAATATGTTTCTATCTTCCATCCCTCTCTGCGGTCTGCTCCTCATCTTCAACCTGGAGCCAAGCAGCACTTACCCCGTCAGCACCGGCTTCACTGACACCGATATGGACATCCTGAAGGTGAGCATCCAGCGACCCAATTCAGAAAGTCATAAAACTAGAGAGGATTAGGCTGCTAAGGTTAATGCTGGTTGTTTCAGGTGCTGCTTCAGAAACTGGAGGAGTCGGTTTCAGAGCAGACTGCGGTGGACGAAGGAGTCACTGAGGAGGACGGCCGCGCTAACAGGATGAACATGGAGGACACGTCCAGCGAGCGGCAGCCTCAAACCGACCTGGATGAGGAGCAAATCAGAGAATTCCTCTCCGCCAAGAACCTGAAGAGCGTCCGCAACGACTCGTCCAAGAGGTCTTCCGGCTGCTTCGGGCGCCGCATGGACAGGATAGGCTCCATGAGCTCCCTGGGCTGCAACACGATTGGCAGATACAGTGAGTTTCACTGCAGAAAACCGCAGGAACACACTGCTCCTCATTCACACTGAATCCGTTTCTGAATCTGTTTTCTTCTTCTCTCCAGATCCAAAGCAAAGGTGAAGTCTTACCGTCCAACTGATGCTGCTCCAAAGTCTGTACCAAAACCTGTTTCCTTTTAAATGTTATTTATTGAATAATATTTACTGTTTATTTCTCTTGCCAATATTTAAAGAGTATTTATTGAAAATAGATGTGATGTTGTTCCTTCTGTACTGTTGAATGTCTAATAAATGTTTACATCATCAGAAATGTGTTAGTGTTGTCAAAGCGTCACAAGGCTTCAATTCAATTCAAAGATACTTTATTGACTCAAAGGGAAATTAAATGTTGTAACTCATTATAGTTGGCAAGAAAGATCTCCTGTAGCAGACAGTATTACAGCAAATTTGAAAAAGCCTCTGATTGAAGACACTCTTTATTTCCCCCACACAGTCTCACCTAATCTCAGGGTGTCCAAAGTGTGGCACGGGGGCCATTTGTGGTCATTGAAATGTTTTTATTCGGCCCCTGACAACAAGTCAAGAATGGTTACAATTTGGCAAATAAAATAGGAAACGACTGATAACACAAAAATCTGGAATTGACTGCTTTTCTTTTAATAAGGCAACAGATTTCTTGTGTAGGTAAAATAAGAAAAAAATATATAAAACAAATTTATATTTTCAATTTAATTGATTGTGTAGCCCATAATTTTTTTATCTTCAGCATAAAGCATGCATTTAGTTGGAAATAGTAAATGTAATAAAAATGCTTCACTGAACCTAAATAAGGATTTTTTTACACTATTAGAACCTCCTGAAGCCGTTTCAGCACCATGGAGAGCAAACAGAGGAGCTGCAACACCGTGCAGACAGTAAAACTGAAACTTTTCTGTTAGAAATGATCTACAATCCAACAAAAACTACTAAACACAAGAAAAGAGTTGCTGAATCTCCAGAAAAACCTGTGGAGTAAAACTTTTTCTCACATGGGCCAAAATGATCAAATAAAATAGTTTTTTCCTCCTCAATAATAAACTAAGCTGCAGGACTTTACTTAGACAAATAGAGTAGTTTAAATTTGTGTTGAAACTTATTGTAGATCCCAAACTTTAAAAAGTTTTTTTTTAGTTTGCCTTGTTAAAAGAAAGACGACCAGTTTTCAGATTTATTAAGCATATAAAACAGGATTTAGGTGATGCTTTGTTTAAAAATGTTTCCTGTGTTTAGTAAAGTTCAGAAAATTCATTAAAACCAAATTTGAAAGCAGCAAAGTTTTCTTTTGAGAAAACACAGTGCAGACATGGAAACCAAAACAAACAGTATTTACTATTGTAAAAATATTTTTAATCTCTGATTATTTTTGCTCTAACATAAATTAAATTAAAACTTGCATTTATGCAAATGTTATTCTACTAAATCTAATATAAAACATGTTTTATTTTGCATTTTTGCAAGTGCTGTGCAAAATTTCCACATGTGCTGCAGATATTGTAATCATCATCCGAAAATGATGAAAATACATTTTTCAGTTCAGTCAAAGTTTTCCAAGTTATGGTAGTTTGGGGAATTATATGTAGGTTTCCTGTACAGTAACATTTAAAAGGGCTCAGATTCTGTTTGGGTGAAAAAATAGAAGAGATTTGGAATGAAAACTATTTTGTTTTGAAAACGACGTAATCTGACCACAGTGAATTTATCTAACAATTATCTAATGGTACTGATAGTAAACTTGGGTCAAAATGAAAGGAATCCTCTAAAAATGTTTGTAAAACACAATTTAAAATGATGTATTTAATTAAATGTTATTTCTGATTGGCTGCTAGTCAAATTCATCTCACTGCTTTTCTACTTAAGTTAGAAAGAAACTGCTGCAAAAAAACATACAAATGGTGGAAATAAGATAAAATTTCATGTGATTACTGTAAAAGATAATATTTTCTCATAATCAAAACAGTGGATTGTGTTGAAAATGTGTTTTACCTTGGAATAAAGTCATAATATATTAAAATAAAATAAAACTCATTACCATCTGAAATCAGAAGACATCAGGTTAGCATTGATGCTAAAAGAATGTAATAATTATTGAACAGTGAATGAAAACATTCTAAAAGTTGATGTTTGTAAAGGTCAGAGGTCAAGGCTGTTTGGGAAGCTGCTTTATAAGACGTCGTCCTGCAGACCAATGAGGAGACAGATTTGTTTTTCTTTCCAGTGTTGTAACGATGGTCCTCAAGGTGTGAGTCTTCAAGATTAATTAATTTCTGATTGATAAATTGAATCCTGTCCCTTTAAGGCTGCAGGTTTAACCTAATATGGAGTTTTGATGCTCAGAAGAGCAAAAAGTGTTAAATATTTTCACTGAGTGCTGCTTTGAAAATAAACCACGCCTGAGCGCAGGGAGCCAAACTGGACTCCTGAAGTCATCCCACTGATTGGTGCTCACACACACACACACACACACACACACACACACATACACACACACACACACCTCTCAACACACAGACACTCATCTGACTTGCTGCTTTATCAAGCAGAGGTGCCAGAATGCTCTTGACTTGATCTATGAGCCAACATTGACTGTCTGCTGTGTGTGTAGGTGTGTGTCTGTGTGTAGGTGTGTGTGTGTCTGTGTGTGTAGGTGTGTGTGTGTCTGTGTGTGTAGGTGTGTGTCTGTGTGTGTAGGTGTGTGTCTGTGTGTAGGTGTGTGTCTGTGTGTGTCTGTGTGTGTGTGTCTGTGTGTGTCTGTGTGTGTGTAGGTGTGTGTCTGTGTGTGTGTCTGTGTGTGTGTGTCTGTGTGTGTAGGTGTGTGTCTGTGTGTAGGTGTGTGTCTATGTGTGTAGGTGTGTGTGTGTGTAGGTGTGTGTCTGTGTGTAGGTGTGTGTCTGTGTGTGTCTGTGTGTGTGTTGCCATGTATTTAGCCTGGGCTGGTGACGGCTGCAGGCTCAGCCTCGGCATCAGGACAGCATGAAGACGGCGGTGGTTTTCACTGCGTTGGCCTTGTTCTGGCAGCACAGTCTGGTTACTGGGCACGCACTGGGACGGCCCTTGATTCCCAGTAACCTGGACCAGTTAAAGGTAGGAGAACCAGCTCAGAGCCGCTGTGGGTGGAGGGTTTGTGGCAGGGGTGTCCAAACCTTTTCTCAAAACTGACAAGTCAGTGGAACTCAGGGGTCAAAAAACACCCAACCCAAATTTAAATGAATAGAAATATTAAAATAAAACCAAGCAGTAAAGTTGGTTGATTTTGTTGTTTTTTGTAGAAACAATCCAAAACTTTAAAATGATTTAGTACATTTTCTATAGTAAAAGAAACTTGATTTAAAATCTTTTGGGCTTGATTGAACAAATGTATTCAGTTATAAGAAAAAGATCTGAGTCACTTTCTTTCAAAATACTTCCTATATTTAGCAAAGTTTAGTAAATTAAATAAAAGCAGCAAAGTCAGATTTTCAGAAAAAGTTTACTTTGTGTTCTACTTTATATTTTCTACTGTAAAAAAAAATTACAACATAAAATATTACTTTTCATCAGGATAATAATTTTACCCTCACTAAGGCCAAATTTGTATTATTCTAGGGGGACCGCCCAAAATCACTCCAAGGGCCACAAATGGCCCCTGAGCCACACTTTGGACACCCCTGGTTTACACTTTGATGGCGCTAAAAGTGAGAGATGGAAACGGTGAAACAATGTCTTCTTAAGGCAGCCATGTTGGATTTTTTTTCTGTTTTTAGGTAAAATTTTTATTCCATTTTTAAATGTTTCTCTAATATTTTCTGTCCTTATTGCCAAGTTAAGTTAATGACGCAAAACATGTAAAGTTTAAAATTTACATGGATGAATTGGATTCATTATGGTCTTCTGAGGTTTAAATAATATTTGGGTTTTTTTTCACATTAAAACTGTCAGCAGCATCATTTAAACTATTAAAAAGGAAATTTTTTACAGTGAAGCCATAAAATTCGGCCATTTTGCTGTTCATGTTGGTAAACTCAGAACTTCTGAATGGAATGCAGCCGAAGCTGAGCCAGTTATGGCCTTCACAGCGTAAAGGTTGTTTTTAAATGGTTGCATAAAAATTATTGTTATCGTGATGAGTTGATGGCAAAAATGTCTTCCTGTGACATCTCCTTCAAGAACAAGTCATTGTATGTATAAACAGAATATAGAAATTTATTGTAGAAATTAAAAAAAATATAATTATAGAATATATATATATATTATATAAAATACTGCAATTACAACATATTCAGTCTAAAATGTACAAACTGTTCTCCATAGTGTAAAAGAAATTACGAACAATAAAATCTCAAACTGTTTAGACAACAGATGGGAGAATTTAGAGTTTAACCGCTGCTGAGCGGAAGGACCTTCGATAACGCTTCTTAGTGCACAGAGGATCTCCGATGTTACCATCAACAAAAAAGAAAGAAAATGGGCTGAAAAAATAATGTATGCATAGAAAAAAAAGCTGAGTAAGACAAAAATTATGGAAATAAAAGCAAATAATGACGATTTACTATAATTTTCAGTCTTTTCTGGATGATAAAGATGTTAGTTTTTCAGACTAAAAACAATCCTGAGTATCTTCCACAAAAATAAAAAATAAACCTGCAAGGCTGGAAACCCTGATATCTATGTTACCGTAGAAACTTTTCACTATGATGGAAAATTGATATTTAGTTTATGCACAGGAGCAAAAACCCTGATAAAATGTTTTAAAACATTTATTCTTTAGCAATATTTATATTGATCCTAGACCTGTCACAATAACAAAATTTACTGGACAATAAAATAAATGATAATACTGTTGTTTTGAGACCATTTTCTAGTAATATGCTACAAATAATGCAGGAATTAATTGATTTATTGATTATGGTAACATATATAGTAGATTGTGCCTCATAATTTGAAGCGTTTTTCTCTGAATCGGTTTAACATGGAGCCGTTTTTACCTCTGCAGTCGCTGCTGGAGCGGATCGAGGAGACTCTGGCTGACGAGGCCCGGGAGGAGGCGGATTACGAGGAGCCGACCCAGGAAGCCGAACCGAGCTGGAGCCCGGAGCAGCAGAACCGGCCGTCGGAGGCGGGTCAGCGGAACCGGCTGAACGACCTGCTGCTGAGCCTTAGGAAGCGGGCCTCCAGCTGCTTCGGCGCACGCATGGACCGGATAGGAAACATCAGCGGCCTGGGATGCAACAGCGGCAGAGGTACCACAGGGTCCACGTCAGGGGGGTCCAAAGTGCGGCCCGGAGGCCATGCGGGGCCCTCTGATGGACTTTCAGTGGCCACCCAACTTTAATTCAAGAATTAAGCAAATCTGGCCTGAGAGCGTAGTGAACCGAGGTGAACCGAGGTGGCCGATCGCCGATTACTGATCTTTAAAAAACCTGACCTGTCGATTCTGATTCTGGCTAATACCAACTTATTTTTTATCTGAAATGTTGCTAAATGTAGCAAGAAAATGGATGAGTTGGTATACTCTGTCACTTTTTATTTAGTTAGCTCAACGTTTAACTAAATGTTTAGTTAGCTCTGAGCTAGCTCAATGTTGTACGAGAGCTACGTAGTTAAATTGCTAACTGAACATTTGTTGGGAGCAGAACATTTAGTTAAATTAAATGTTTAGATTATCAACTAAATGTTTAGCTTCCTAATAAATATTTAATCAGTATTTACTTTGTACACTAAATATTTGGCTTCCAACTAAATATTTAATTTGGAGCTAAATATTTAGTTTGCTAAGTATTCAGTCTGAAACTGTGACCTCCATAAATTAAATAACAACATGGAGATAATATGACTTTTAAAAATGTACTTCATTGTTTTTATTTTTTGAGAAGCTAAATACCCCAAATATAGATGTTTAGTTTTGTGTAACTTTACCAACGACCGCCCATATTTCCAAACCTCAAAACAAAAATGTAACTAAAACTTCCCCTTCAAGGTCAACATACTCTCACAAATATCCATAAATTATTTCTCTGTGTTTGTGTTTTCCCCTGCAGGGTAGCCGTACGGATCGTTGGATTATTCTGAGCCTGAAGCCATGACTGTCATCCTGCTCCGGTGAAAATTGATTATTGATCATGTAAATATGAGTGGTTCACCCTCTGAAGTGGAAATTTATCTGCCAGCCAAATATGTGTCGTTTTCTAACACATATAAAATTAAAGGTAAAAAAAAATTACTTTTTTATATTTATATAAATAATTCACATTACAGCTCAGTACAGTTTTCACAGTTTAGATTAATTTAATGAATTAGTTTTAATGATGTATGCAAAAGACACTGCTCATGTTAGATCTATAAATGACACTGAAATGTTAAATTAAATGAGATGCCCACCATGGAAATGTTTTGCCAGTGTAATAATTTAGAAAACATTTTTGTTTGTTTTCATCATAATTGCGTAAGAAACATTTATTGATAAAATGTGGAAATATTCTTGTTGCTTTGTTGAAACTAAACTAACAAATAAAACAGTTTCCTTAAAAAGCGTTTCAGTTCTCCTCATGTTTAATTAAGGATACAAACTAAATATTTAGATTATTTAGCCTGCTAATTAAATATTTAGCTTCAAACTAAAGATTTAGCTGAACAATCTGATGTTTAGTTTGGAGTTAAATATTTAGCTTGCTAATAAAATATTTAGTTTGAAACTGACATTTATAAATGAAATTCTGTTATGACAAAGTAAATAATAATTTGTGAGCTAAATATTTAATTTGAAGCTAAATAAGCTAAATTTAAAATTAATTAGAAAACTAAATAATCTAAATATTTAGCTTAGCTTACTCAGCTAAACTAAATAATTTAAACTAAATAGCTTATTTAGCTACAATTGTGTTTACAAACAAAATAATTTGTAAAATATTTTTAGTATAGAACTAAAAATATTAAGTTTCTCAACTGTATATTGAGTAAATATTTAGTTGTAAATATTTACAACTATTTAGTCAGTAAATATTTAATTTAAAAACTAAATATTTAGCTTATTTAGCTAGCTAATCAATCAATCAATCAAATTTTATTTGTATAGCACATTTCAGCAGCAAGGCATTTCAAAGTGCTTTATATAATTAAAATAAAAACAGCATGTGACATTGAAAAAACAGTGAGAAAGAGAAAGACATTTTGAAAAAGATTAAAAAATATGAAAACATTAAAACCTCTTTTAGGACTTCAGTTAAATGTCGTTTAACTGGGGCTCTAACCTTCTGGGACTTTAGTTAAATAAATATTTAGTTTTAAATTGCCATCTACAAATGAAATGTCAGACTAAATGACCCCAAATTATTGCTGTTAGTCTTTGACTTTATTACTTTACAAACAACAATCAAACCACTTTAACGTTCATAAATGTCCTGATTTATTTCCACACAGAGCTGGGGGGCGGGGGCTTGTGTTGTTTTTCATTTTACACTTCATTGAATATTTGGAAATGTCTTCAGCTTTAATGGTTTAATTATGTTACATAAATCTCCCAGTAATGTTAAAATTGATGTTAAATCTCCATATGTCCAAATTAATATGTTTTTAAAGGATGTTCTAGTTTTTATGACTGTATGTGATATGATTAAGATATTACCAACACAGTTTTATTATCCACATCAGCTGACTGTTCAAGTAAATCTGTTGTTGATTTTAATCCACTTTTATCTGAAGATTAGATCATTTTAAAAAGAAATTAAATAAAGTGACTTCAGACCAATCAAATCATGTTTTCTTTCTATCATCATGAGTGTCAGAGTACAAGGGAGTCGCAATAAAAACAGTAAAACTGTTTAACAACATTCAGAGGAATAAACTGAAACAAACACAAAGCAGATTTAAAGCAAAACAGAAATAATCACCTTGACAAAAACCCAGGAAATACTGGAGCCACCTCAAGGATAAGAGGGTACCGTAAATATAAAAACAGGGAGAAGTACATTGCTGCCAAAAATTTTTTTAGAAAAAAGAAAAGAAGTTTAAAATTTGCTAGAAAAAAAAAAGAAATTTTCTGAGTTTTAAACGTCAAAAATGTTCAACTTTTGTCAAAATTTGTGAGGATTTTCAAGCCAACATTTTGAGATCAGAAATTTCCAAGTTTTTTTTCTAGAAAAATGCTTAGTTTTTTGGCAGAAATTTACTCCCTCTTTCCTTTCCATTCAGGCTGCTGTAGATTTGAGCAAGTTGAGTAAATTTCTGCCAAAAACTCAGAAATTTTCAAGTTTTTTCCTAGAACATTTCTGAGACTAATCGCAAAATTTCAGATTTTTTTTTATAGCAAATTTTCGACTTTTCAAGTTCATAAATTTCCTTTCTTTTTCTAGCAAATTTTGAGATCAATCTCTAAATTTCTGAGACTTTTTGGCAGAAATGTTCTCCTTATTTCCTCATCTTCGGTGGCCGTAATTCGCCGCCATCGTAGGCGTGAATCTGTCGCTCTGCGGCCTGAAAGCTGCTGTGCATCACATCAAGTAAAACCGACGGCCGTCAGATGATTCATTCTGTAAATCTGTTTTTAATTCGGACTGAATCTAACTGCATTGGACAGGCGCTGAAGAGGGAACGCCACTGTGGGTTTGTAATGGTGGGACTGGGAGAACTGGACTGTCCACCCACATTACAGAGATCCTGCTGATCAATCAGAGCATGATGATGATGATGATGATGATAATGATGATGAACGAGGGGAACATCTGGAGCGACGGCCGACAGCTGCAAAGCTAAACCGTCCTGAACTCAACATCCTCTCACATCCAGGCGTTAAAAACCGGAGAAAGCTGCAGATTTTCCTCCTGATGGGAACAAGACGGATTTCCTTTTCCATGACAAATAAATTCAGGCTCTACAGCGGAAAACCTGCAGCGGGATTCAGAGATACGATCGAAGTCGTTCCGATCCTCCTGTCGCTCTGGGTAACTTTCCACCATTAACCGGCCCAGAAACACGTCGCTAAGCTAACAGCATGGCCGGAGCGTGGGAGCTCGATTTAAGGGATGACTGAAGGTTATGATCAGAATAATTACAAATCAGTTTCTTTACAACAAACCCAGAGTCTGGATCTGCCTTTCTGTCTTCAGATCACCAGAGGTTAGAAATCCAACCCGACACTCAGAGGGAAGCAGGACGGCTGAATTAGTTTGTTTCTGTTTCACTGAATTAAATATCAGCAGCTTTTAGCAGAGATGCTTCCTATAGTTTATCAGACAGCGCCCCCTGGTGGTGAATCCATTTTATTACTGTCTCTGTGTCCAGAATGAAAAACAGGACAGGATTTCTTTGCTGGAAGAGTTTTTCCTTCAACAAAGTTTTCTGCTCTGGTTCAGACAGTTAGTTTTAACTGGTTTAATTACTTACACACTGTTGTTTATGGGCTGCTGTTTGTAAAGTTAAACATTCAAAAATTATCAGCAATAATTTGGATTATTGTAAAAAGAAAAAGAATGGGGTCATTTTTCAAAGTCATATTTTCACCTTGTTACGCATTATTTATGAATATCATTGTTTCAAACAAAATGATTTAGCTAGCAAGCTATTTAGTTTAAAAAATAAATATTTGGCTTCAAACTAAATATTTAGTTAGCAGGCTAAATAAGTTAAACTCTGTAAGTTAAAAAAATATTTAGCTCTAAATATTTAGTTAACAAGTATATTTAGTTTAAAAACTACATTTTTATTTAGCATCCTAAATAAGCTAAATATTTACTTTTAATAAATTATTTATGTAGCTAAAAATATTTAGTTTGCATCTAAATATTTAGTTAACAGACTAAATATTTTGTGAGCAAGCTAAATTGGCTAAATATTTACCTTTAATATGTAGAGCTAAACTAAATACTTACAGCTGGCGCAGTGACTGTTGCTGTAGATCCAGTGGTGAATGTGTTATTTCCCATTTTGAGTAGATTCAGCCCTGGGAGTCACTAGAAATCTAGTTAAACTGGTTGGTAATAAATGTTGGTGCAGGTGCAGAAACTGTGGAGATATTTTTCAGATTGTGAGGAAACATTGCTGCTGCAGGTCATGCTGACTGCCTCACCCTAACTGGCCTTCTACAGTTTACCAGATCAGATCGCATTGCAATAAATTGGATTAAATTGGGATATATTAAATTGGATTTGATCCTGAACCTGACTGTTCTTGATTGGGTTGAATCGATTGGATCACATGTAACTGGATAAGAGAGGGAAGCTGTGTGAGAAACCTTCTGTTGTAAAGTGTTGCTTTGATAATAAATCCAGGTTAAATAATTTTACATTAAGTTACGAGTCCAAAGAGAGAGAGAGAGAGGGTGTTGAAGCTGCAGTAATCCTGTGATATAAACCTGCTGAGCCGCTGCATTCAGCCTCAGTGGGAGATAAAACCAGCCTGATAGCAGATGGAGCGTCCGCAGGTCTGCGCTGCACTCAGCAGGATGAAACGTCCGCTCGCTCTCTGCTGCTTCCTCCTCCTCTCTCACACCCTGAGCCCAACGAAAGGTAAGAACTGCGTCTAAAGCTACCCCACAGCAAAACTCCTACTCAGTTCAGGTCCCTTCATGTGTTTGTTTTTAGCAGGAGAAATTAAGCATTTTTCAGGGATAACATGAAAAACAGCCTTTTAGCTAATCCTGGCTTTTTTACAGAAATATTCATTAAAGTGTCCCTAAAAAAATTACTTAAATTTAAATTTTTTGTTGTGTTTCTCTCATTTTCATGAAGTCTCTGTCAAACTGCTTTATCCTTTTTACTCCCACTTTCATTAAAAACCTTCCCTGTGATCCGGTTGGTGTTCGTTTTATTTTTAATCATCATCATCAGAAATGATGATCTCATTATTTTTAATTTAATCACGCTCGACTACATCTCATTCCTAGTAATGGGGTTAGTTCATTAAGCACCAGCACAAATGTACAATTAAAGGGGCTTTTTGGCATATGTAGGGTGAAGTTTTGTAAAAAGAAAGATAAATAACATTTACATTTCAAACAAGTTACAAATGCTGTGGAGTTTGTATATTTTTACACATGAAATCACAAAGATTTCTTGCAGGAGACACTGTGTGTTCGATAGGAATGTACACAAAGCGAAAGGAGACATTTAAACCATTCCAATCAGTTTGGAACCAGTGCTAACTACGCTAACGCTAAAGCGCTACACTAACATGGTATTTAAAAGAAGCTAAATATTATGTTATTAACTAAAAAGCTAGTTCTGCTAATCCTAAAGTACTACACATGGTATTTAGCAGAAGCTAATGCTAAAGTACTAAAGTGATAACTTAAACTTAATTCCTTGTTAGTGATTTATAATTTATCTGAAAAATTTTACCTTGTGGAAGCTAAGTGCATTAAGTGTTTTCTAAGTTAGCAAAATGCTAAAGTGCTAAACAAAACTTAGCTCTGTTATGGGCGGATTAGCGGAAGTGTTACTAATTGAAACAAACACTCATCTAAGACATTGCTTTTGCTAACCACCTGTCCTTCCTTTCCCCTCCTGCACTTATTGCTGACTCAGCAATCATTCTTTGTTATTGACCATTTGTAAACTACGTCACTTGATCACCTGCAGGCGCCATGATGGATCTTCGGAAGTGACACTTGGAATATTATTAGCTAGCTTAGAAACCGACCCAAACCATCTCCCTCTTCATTTTTTATGTTCCCAAATCCAACTTTGCCTGATTTTATGCTACCTGACTTGTTCCATCATGTCATAAACAACGTTTCCCTTACACTAGAGCAGATTTAAAACCATGCAAAAGTCTCGGTGCTAACCAGTTTTCTTTTATACATGCTAGGCTACATTTTATTTATCTTCATCATGATTCGATCACATTTTATTAATCTTACTCGCTTATTAAGTAAGAACATTGATCTTCTTACCTGGTTAGAAGTGTTCGCTGCAAATCCGTGAAGACACCAAAGGTTGCCAGTCTTTGGGATTGTCGGCTGATATCCATCTTTCCTGGTTACAGGGATAAAACAACGTACAATAAAACAACGATGAAAGTTTGGCTCGCGTCCCTCTTTGTTTGTACAGCCAACCGCGCATCACTATGGCATTTTTACACTGAAATAAATTAAATAAAAACATTAGGCGACCATCTGTCTGTTTTTGACAAGCATTAACAGTGTAACACAGTGGTTTGTTGCCCCCTAGTGGTAAGAATACAGATCCAGGGACAGTTCATGGTAGGCCAACTTACTACAAGCGGGATGTTCCGCCATTCACGCTTTCAAACTCTAACCAAGAAAATCATAAACAGTTTGAATTGATGTCCGTCATGGCGGGAGAGCCTGACGTCACGTTCACAAGCGTTTTTCTCAAACTGACATTAAAACGCATCTTTGATTAAATCTTTTACAGCAAAAATTCAAATCTGCTTCTGGGTATTTGTTTGATTTATTATAAATTAATCTGGATGACTTTATGCTTCGGGTCTGTGTGGAGACAGCTTTGTGCCATCAGAGCAGGACTGTTCTCTAGTGGGTTACCTAACTCCGTTTGGAGATGTTCCTTTGGGGATAAAGAGTCCATTGTCTGACTCTGAGCCATATTGCTTATGGTAATCTGTACTTTCAAGTGATTAAATGCTTTTGGCTGTTGAAATCACAAAGTGCATGGATGTTAATCCCCAAGCAGAATCCACAGATATTCTGCCCATGATCTTGGACTCTAGTAAAACCCAGACACCCGTCTCCCTAGAGACACGATCACTGTCCAGGATCTCATCGGGAATCTTCTGGTTCTGATCCGGTTGGCCTTACAGCTTCACTAAGTAAAGTAATGCCTTCTAATGAGATGTCCCGACCATCTGAAGGATCAGCAGCTCGACTCCATGTTCTTACAGAACCAGCAGGTGAGATGAGCTTCCTCCGTAGGGAGGCTGGACTCGGCCTTGGCGATAGGTTGAGGAGCTCCTTCATCCACAGGAAGCTCCATGTGGAGCCGCTGGTTCTCCACACTGAAAGGAGACATTAGAGCAGTGGTGTCCAGAGTCGGTCCTGGAGGGACAGCATTCTCTCCCTGGTGGAGTAACTACCTTCTCAGCATGTCAACGTTCTTCTTGGGCCTCTCATGAGCCACCATTTGATCCAGGAAGAGAACCAGGAGCAAGAACTCCCTGGAGAGACCATATTACTGTCTGACCCGGGAACGGGATGAGAGGAACGGACGGACGGGCGGACGGGTTGTTGCTGCTGTTTGATCACTGACGTAACATGAGGAGACAATATGGCCGCCCTGCAGACCAAACCTCTTCTTCTTCACCACACCTCCTGGTTTTTCATCATTTCCCATCTTACAAGGATTTTGTGTATTAGACTAATGTAAAGTAATACTAAGCAAAATCTGAAATGTGTGGCGGACATTTTTATTCACCAGTAGTGATCTTTTTGGGGTCTGTCTCTACTGGTTTATCTGAGATTTTTACCCAGTCTTCTACACAGAAGAGCTCCAGCTGAGTCAGACTGAATGGAAACCATCTGTGAACATCAATTTTCAAGTTTTACAACAGATTATTTCTTAGCTTTGACTTTGACTAGGCCATCCTATGACATGAATGTAAACGTTTCCAGTGCATTTCAGGCTGTATGTTTATGATGGTTCTCCTGCTGAAAGCTGAACCTCCATCCCAGTTTTCCACCTCCAAAAAGCTTTATTTCAGTTTTGTCCTGGATTTAGCTCCATCCTAAAGCTCTCAAGCCACACTTTTCAGATTCCAGATGTGTAATTTTCCTGTATTAAATCCCATTAAAATACAGTGAAGTTTGTAGCTGAAGCTCATGTCTGCCTGTTTAAATCAGACGTATCAGTTCCTAATATTTTATTTCCAGATTCCCAAATGGTCTTTATGGGTAAATAATGTTTTTGCAGGTTGCTGGGAACTCTTTGACCTCGTTTGGAAATTTTTTAATCTTTCTTCCACATTGTTTGTGTGTCTGGAGAGGCCAGAGATGGGCAATGCCCGGCTCTTTGGATCAAAAGCTCTATGAGGATTAAGAGGAAAAACATGGGAGGAAAATAATCTGCAGCCACGGTGACGTCATGCGTCAGCGGCCGGTGCAGCGGAGGTGAGGCTGACTGCCGCGTTGCTCTGCAAGGTGACCTTTGTTCCCAAGGTCAAAGTGGAGAGCTGGATATCGATTCACTCCCAATGAAAACAGACATATTGTAGCTGTAGCGTAGCAGAGAGACAGAGGAGGAGTTCTGAAAGGCATTGACTCAAAATCAACAGGTTATTACCACGGCAACCAGACACCCACACTGAAACACGGTGGTGGCAGCATCATGATCATCTGTTGTTGCTTTTTGTCAGATTTAACCCTTAAGTTATGTACTGGACAACGTGGCGCCTGAGTCTCTCAGGTGATTTCCCACCTGTTTGTCCTCACCTGCAGGTTACCTGATTGTTTCCATGGATCCCCTCCCACCTGTCGTCATCGGTGACACGATCACGTTAAAGTGCAACTTCCAGACGGACGGCACCCTAAGAGAGATCGCGTGGTTTCAGGTGAGCATGCAGCATAAACGGACTGCAACGTTTTGGACGAGATGTGGAAATTTATCACATTTCTGCCTCCAAACTTCAGTTTGATCATTTTATGTTTTCACAAATTAAATAAGTAACAGATGAGAGTAGCCCATGTGAGGAAATAACTTCCTCTTTTGGTTCCACACATGAGAAGTTTTTCTATGACCAAATCATTCAGCATTCAGCTTCTATGCACCACAAATCTGGAACAAACTTCCAGAAAACTGCAAAACACCCGAAACTCTGAGTTCCTTTAGATCAGGGCTAAAAGCCCAGCTGCTTATGAACCGTAATAAATTAAACGGTGACCAACATATTTGGCATCTTGATTTTGATGATGCCACTCATCAAACTGTAATGTTTGCTTCTGGTTTTCATAATTGTTGACAGTGTTTTGTTTTCATTACTTTGTATTTTTATGATCTAAAGCACTTTGAACTGAAATGTGCTATAAATACACTTGATTCATTGATTATCAGTTCGTATATAGTTTTTAATCCTAAATTATTCACTGTGGACCAAATTATTAATAACAACTCACGTTTAAACGCACCAGTCATCAGTTCACATGAATAAAATGGTGAGTTCCGTCTAGATTCTGAAACCTGAATAAAACTCTCTCTTTCTTCTCTTTCTCACGACAGAAAACAAAATGTTTTCAGTTTTACTCCTCATTTTTAGGTGGAACCAGCGTTTCTGTTTTAAATGGTTTTCTTTGCAGGTAATTGAAGGAGGCAATGCCAAGCAGAAGATTTTCACCTACGATTCTGTTTTCAACTCGAGTTTCTCCAACATGGAGGACACAAACAAACGAGAGGAACTGATTTACCACTCAACAGTACGGTGCGAATGGCTGACAGGGATAATTATTTAACACAATAAAAACCCAGTTAGGCTGAACCTGGTCCGGTGACAGCAGGTTGTTTTCCTTGCTAACAGCCTCCCGGAGGTGCAGCTGGAGGATGACGGTCTGTATGAATGCCATGTGGGGATCTACAGCAAAGGATCCAGAGATCAGCTGATCGAAGCGTCTGGCAGCGTCACGCTCTCCGTTATCGGTTCGGCTCATTTCATCTTTACTGCCACACATTTTTAAATGAGGGAAAACCTTCATGTCTCTTATAAACAGTAAGTTATAACATTTTGTCAGAGCAGTTCAGCGTAAAATGTACTTTGTTTCAACGTAATGTCAGAAGTTAGTGAGGATGAACATGGACGACGTTGGAGGAAATGACATCAGAACCTGATCCTGCCGATTCATTCATGCAGTTTACCATGAAGTTAGCTTTGAATATCTACACCAAAAGTGAACTTGGGTTCATTTTTTAAATAATTGAACCCAAATTATTGCTGGTAATCCATGAAACTTTGCAAATGGCCTCCCAGACTAAACTGATGTTTCAGTTGAAAGTCAGAAAACCAGTAAAACCTTTGTGGGACTCCGTGTTAGGGCTAGCCATTAGCAAACATACTGAATAACAAACTTCTCAGCTTTTCATCTAACATCTACAAGGGAAAACTCACAAATAGACGTTAGAGATTAAAAAGCTCTTAAACTGGTGGCAGCCATTTTGGAAGGCGTTGTAGGGATGGTGAGAACCGCAGTCTCGTCTCTCAGCCTGTAATGTATGGTAAACCCCCTCCAGTGTGTGAATATATTTGTGTTTTCCCTGCAGTTCCTCCCAGGTCTATTTCTGTAGCGGCAGCCAACAGCCCGGCTCCGTTCAGCCGTTACGAGGCCAAGAACTTCACCCTGGTTTGCATTGTTACTGGAGCAAAGCCGGCTCCCTCGGTAAGACGCATCCGTCTGTTGTTATCTCTCCCCAGATATTCTTGTATCCCAAAAGAATCCGGTTTGCAATCTATTTATGATGGTGGAGAGAAATGAAAAGCGTAACAGAGCAAATGAGAGCCTGGCTGGTAGTAATGAGTTCACAGCTGGATTTGATATGAAACGAACACACACAGAAATGCAGCCTGAAGCAGATAGAAAGTTTGAAATTAAAAAGCTATTTATGGCTGTGGTCTGTACCCTGTGCGACCTCTTTGCCAAAGTATTCGGCATTAATACCGGAGGATTAGCAAACAGCTGCATTTGTGATGGAATCAAATCTGGTGGCAAAGAAATTCAGCTTTCCAAAATCATTTATGATCGACATAAACTAATCTTATTCCCATAGAGATTAATCTAATAACCTATTTAATGTTTTCATTTTTGAATTCAGCTGCCAGATATTGTCTATGGGGCAGCTGGAGCCATCTTCAGCTCAGAGCCCCGTTCAGCTGCTCTAAGTCCGGTTCGCTTGGGTTGGTGTGAATTAGAGAAATCTTCCAACTGCTAAAATCTGACGCCTCCATCTTGTTTCCATCTGGAGAAGAAGGAAGTTGTTCTCAGTGTCTTCAGAGGTTTTTGTATCATTTCCTTCAGTGGTTCTTGGTGCAGCGCCCCCACAGGCCAGGAGGGGAACAGGTTGGTGTGACTCAGAGCCACAGCAGCTGGAGGTGGATCAGATGATGAAGTTTTGGGTCCAAAAGAACCGGGTTTACTGGACTATCAGGTGTGAAAACATCCTCAATCCGTTTCCAAAGGTCTCTAACTTTTCCAAACCTTCTGCCTTCCAGGTTTACTTCAAACGGGACGGTGAGCTCATTGACGTGTTTCCAGCAGCTCGGTCTTCTTCGTTGGTGGGACATCACAGTAAAGCCTCCAAAAGAAACCGGAGCGTGAACCAGGTTCTTCCCAGAGGAGATGTTGATGACACCAAAATCCAGAAGTCCCTGTCCCTGCAGAACCAAGCGGGGAAGGTGACCCAGCTTAGAGAGAATGAGACGGACAGCTTGGAGCGAGGCGGGGAGGAAGCATCCAGGTTGAAGCTGGAGTCGACCATGGACGGCATCCCGGAGACGGTGGTGAGCCGGGAGTTTCCCCGCTGGGTCCAGAGCAGCGACCCGCTCTACTACTTCCAGCACTGGCAGCAGGTGGCGGGTGACGGCACCATGGAGGCCAGAGCCATGCTGACCTGGAGCCTCAACCCACAGCTGGACAACGAAGCCCTGTTCAGCTGCGAGGTCAACCACCCCGCTCTGTCCATGCCCATGCAGGCCGAGGTCACACTCAGTAAGGCCACAGCTCAAATCTCAGGTCACTTCAGCGCCTCAGAACCGTATCGGTGCTGACCGGGCTCGGGACCATAACGGCCAGAAAGTATCTGAAATATTTGAGAGCCTATTGTTGCACACTTAATAATTAATCAGTGTGGTTTTTAGTTATTTTTATTTTATTTCAATTGTTGACACGTTTGGCGCCACTTTGTTGGGGAGTGAGAAAGTG